TCAGATCAGGAAATTCTACTCCAGCCCAACTTCTAGCCCCAGTAAGCCTGGCTCTAGAACTCATCTCTCAAGGGGAACTCTGAGACCCATTTCCCTTCCTATAATGTATTCCAGAGGAGTTATCATTTATTTTTGTCATTAAAGGATGGAAGCTTCATTCCAGGAATGGGGAGGAAGATCTATTAAAACATTTCCCAAGCAACTTGGACTAGTTCTGGAAAAGCAAAGGCAGCAGGAAAATGACTGGTACATATTTCAACGGACAGGATGCAGTCAAGCAGAGCAGGACCTGGCACCTCAAAGGGGCACTTCCTGTATCCTTCATTCCAAAGGAAGTAAAAATATTTATGAAGGCTCTGCTCAGTACCCCAAGTACTCTAATTTTCTCTAACATTCCAAATATGGATCTATTAAGGTTTCCTCCCCAAACTCATGTATTGGAAACTTAATTCCTCAGTGTGACAGTCCTGGGAGGTAGGACCTAGTGGGAGGTGTTTGGGTCATGGATTAATAATGCCTTTCACACACGAATGTGTTCTTGTTCTCTTGGGATTAGATTAGTTACCACAAGATTAAGTTGTTATAAAGCAAGGTCACTCCTTGTGTTGTCTTCTCCATGTGCCCGCATGCTCTTCTGCTGTCCATCATGGGCTGAAGTAGCATGAGGCCCCCAAAAGAAGTTAAGCAGATATGGTACCATATTCTTTAACATTCCACCCTCCAGAAGTGTGAGCCTAAATAAAAGTATTTCTTTATATTACCCAGCTTCAAGTATTTTGTTATAGCAACAGAAAACAGACTAAGACAGGATCCATGTATTTATCTGAATCTTTCAAGGTATTTCTATTTGTAGGGGATGTATTTTTCTTGGGGGTGATGAATACCATGTGTGCTACTTGAATAACAACAACAACTGGCATTTATTGAGTATTCTCTATGCAAGAGGTACTATCTAAGCACTTTACACACTAGCAATTACGAGGCTCAAAACAACCCTGTGAGAGAAGATACTGCTTTTATTTTAAAAAAGGGAAATGAAAGTTTCCCAAGGCCCACAGCCGGTAACTCTAGTCCATCCCCAGGGTTCTCATTCTTGACCACTGCATGGTTGGCTTTCTCTCAATTATGCAGGCGGACACCAGTAAATAAAGTAAGAGAACCAGAATAGGAAAATGAATCCCAAGACAAAGGGTTGAAGGCAATTTATACACCTATAACCCACACATATGTAGGCACCACAAAGTTAAAAAACAAATTGCTCCATACAGGAGGGACAACTAACAATGTAACACAGAAGTTGTACAGGAAGTAACTCCAGAGAAGTTATTTCAGCTTGGGGGAAATTAAACTCTGAAGTAGCTATTTTACTATTGTATGAATAACAGCTATTAGTATTTTCATCAAATCTTCATTGTATTGTCTATAAGTGTCTAATCTGATAACTCTTTCAGGTACTACCAAGAAGGACTGAGCCTGGGTGGATCCCCAGGGCTGCAATGGCAGTCCTGAGACTGGGCTCCAAGGAGCTGTTCAGAGAGGTATTCTTAAATGAACAAGAACAAAGCCGGTTGCCATCAGGGGTGAAACCACATGGCCAAATCAGGAGTTACCTCAGGCCCTCATCTGCTCAACTCTGGGAGGATTCTGCATTCCAGTTTCACAGACGACTCTGGTCCTTTACAAAAAGTGGTAGGAATTCTAGTGAAATTGGAGGTTGTATTCACCTCCGGACCTCTCCTTGAGGTTTTTCTCAAGAGCCAGAGAAGGGAGTCCATTATTTCTTCGGCTACCCTGTGAATAGGAAATATCCACCTCCCTGTGCAAAGAGGCGTCTGCTGACTATTAAGATCTTTCTGTTCCCAGTAGGTGGAGTTTATTTCACAGTCACATTCCCTGAGGTTCACATTGCACTTCACTGTATGAACAATCGTGTTCACATGTGTGATTGAATTGATTCTCCCAAAAACCCCAGGAGGTGGGTATTAATTAGCCCCCATGTCCCAGATGGAGATTATCCCCTCACCTGCTTAAGGTCTCACAGCAGGAAATGCCAAAGCTGGGGCCCAAATCACTAACCTTAACCACTTCTGTAGAGAAAGTTAAGCTGTTCTTCTATCTCTGGCACAGTAGGAAAAGCACAGAATTGCAGAAACACTTCCACAGTTGTCATCTGCCTAGGACCTTGTTGGCAGGGAAGGTCTGGGTTTCTCCTAGTGGATTCAGCACTGAAAAATCCTTCGACAGCAGGCTATCCCTCACCCTGATCTATGCCATGATTCACCTTCAATTTAAGCATGTGAAGTCCTCAGCAGCCTGACCCAGATGAAACTCTCTCCCCTCTTCCGGGCTGCTCTCATAGAACCCATCAGCAGTCAGAAAATTCTCCCCAACTCATCCTAGTCCCTTTTCTTCTCAGTGCCCAAGGGGGAGTCCTTCTGACACCAAGGCTGGTCCAAACAAGGTCAAAGGGCACCAAGGTCAAAGGGTGTCTGCTCCAGGCTGAAGCTCATGTTCTGGACTTTGCTCCTGGGGCTATAACTCTCTGCCTGTCCACAGGATTCCTGGTGCTGACACCTGCCTGACCTCCTCCTGACTTCAGCTATCATCCTGTCCTCAGTCCATCTCTTGATGCTTTTCTGTTTGGATCCATGATGGTAGTTTCTCTGCTGTTAACACCTGCTAACTGTCCTGCCTTCTGGAGCCAATTTCTTCACAACATTTGCCCGCCCTGGCCAGCTCACCTGGCCTCACCAACAACTTTTTTTGTCTCTGCCACCAGTGCCACAATAGGACAGCATCATATCTATTTGTCTTTCATCCTCTTAACACGTAAAAAATAAGCACAACAGAGAGAGACACCCTGGGCTATAAAGACAGCAGAGACACAGTCCTTGCCCATACCATTTAACACTTCATTACACATAACAGGTCTTAAATAATTTCACGTTTACGTTTTTGTCTTCCAAATAGATAATGTGCTCCTGAGGGTAAGGGCCATGTCTAATACTTGTCCCATTTTGCCTCCCCTCCTTTACAGTGCTCCACAACAAACATCCCCCCAGTGCTTTAATAGAAACAATACCACCATCTCGCCCATGGTTGTAAACAATGTTCCACGCTGCTCTTCTCTAATTATCTTTCTGCGAAGTGAGGAAATGGAATGCAGCAGGTAAAAAAAAAAAAAAAATAGGCCTCTCCTGGAGCTGGGGTGGTGGCTCAGTGGTAGAGTGCTTGCCTCACATGTGTGAGGCACTGGGTTCAACTCTCAGCACCACATATAAATAAATGAATAAAATAAAGGTCCATCAACACTAAAAAATATTTTTTTTTAAAAAAATAGGCCTCTTGGGTACAGAGGGAGGATGGGGATCTGGTCTGCATGAAAGGCCCACCGAGAAGGCAGAATGGTCATTTACCTCTCCCATCATCCTCTACCCAGCTACAGGATGCTTTCCAAAACTAGATTTAGCCACATCTCTTTCCCCCTTGAACACCTTCAGGAATTCTCCATTTCCTTAGCTCAGCTTGCCAGAGTGTTCAAGGCCCTATCAGATCAGACAGAATGCTGGCTTGGGAACCAGATTGCCTAGATTCCCATCCAAGCTCTACCCTGGGTTACTTGTGTGACCTCAGGCAAGTCATTTAATTGCTCAGAGTAATGCCTACTGCATGGGGCTATGGTACAAATTAAAGAGTGAATAATAATTAATATATGTTATGGTGGTTCCATAACACTCCTATAAATTCTTTGACCTTCTCTCTTCAACAGAGCATGAGCATCCTTCCCCTCCCTCCAAGTGACTTGTTTATAATGAACAGAATGCTTAAACTAGAGGGTGATGGGGTATGACTTCCAGGCTGTCATACAAGGCACTGTGGTTTCTCCCTCTTTCTCTGTAAGTTCACTCACTCTGGAAGCCAGCTGCCAAGTTGTACGGCCTATAGAGAGGCCCACTTGGTGCAGACCTAAAGGCCTCTTGCCAAGAGCCATATGAGTCAGACCTCTTCAAAGCACATTCTCTAGTCCAACATAACCCTTTAGCTGCCTGCAGCCCCAACAAGCTCTTGAATGTAAGCTGATGAAGACCCTGAGCCAGATCCACACAGCTAAACCGTTCTTGATTCATATGATGACACATGTTGTAATACATGTGATTGTGGTTTTAAACTACTATGTTTGGGAAGAATTCCACAACAATAAATAATTATTATCTGTGTGAATAATTAATATTTATAAAGAGTAAATAGAGAGGCTGGAGTTGGGCTCAGTGGTAAAGCACTTGCCTAGCATGTGTAAGGCACTGCATTCAATCCTCAGCATCATATAAAAAATGATAAAATAAAGATATTGTGTCCATCTACAATTAAATTGTTTTTAACTTTTAAAAAAGAGTAAATAGAGACTCAGGACTGTGCTTGGCATATAGAAAGTACTCAGTATTATCATCTTTTGTTACAACTATACAAAGTTAAGTACCATTCTGCAAGCTTACCACACATTTTGAAATTTAAGGGAAAACAATTTGACCATCAAAATAAGTAATTGCTACAGGTTACAAGATTTTTTAGATAAAATAGAGATTCATGAGTACCTATTGATATCAATGAACGAATGGATGAACTCATAAAAAGAGGTGAAAACTCTATTCCACAGTAGAATTTCCATTAAAAATGTAGAAGAAATAATGGGATTATAAGATCACCTTTTGATAAAACATAATGCTAAAACTAGAAGGTGAAAGTTTGATGAGGAAAAGAATATTTATATGATCTCAAAGGAGTTCTCACAAAATGCCTATTAAATTCTAATTAATTAATGCATACAAAATACTTGATAATTAACTTTGCAGTGGAGAAACCTGGCAGGTCCCATATTAATCAACTGATAAATGTCACTATCATCAGTAAGGGGACAAATCAGCATCATGTGCCTCCTGATGCAATGCATTAAGAAGACTTCCCCTGGGCCACAACCTATTTGCTCATGTCTTTATCACCAGCAGTGGTTCATGTAGTGGCAGCTCCTGGACACTGGACACTGGACACTGGGCACCAGTCATTGCAGGAAGCACTGGACACACATCAACTCCTTTGATCTGCACTATGACCCTAAGCTCTGAGAAATGAAGAAACTTGCCCACAATCACATGACCAGGGAGAGGCAGAGGTAAGTTACCAGCCCTGTTCTGTCTCTGCACTGGACTGGCTCCCTCAGAAACTCAATAAGTGCTGAATCGACTCCTTTCTGCAGCTCTAGGAGGTTTCTGGGAAACGCAGGGCAGTTGCCCAAGACAGAGTTATATTCTCCCTCCTTCTTTTGGCAAATATCAGAACCGGTAATGGGAGGGAAGGAGAGTGCTGGGTGTGGAGTTTAAAGGTTAGAGTTTCAGCTCTGCCCAGCATGCACAGTGCCCTCCCTCATGAGAGCTGGGTCTCCACCTCCCTTCACTGTAGGCAGGGCAGTGGTTTGTAAATTACTTTTAGTAGCTAAACTGTTTCCAAGCAAACTATTTCACAAAACCTCAATGTATTATATCAAGCAGCATTTTAAACAATAGCTAATAGACAGAAATAACCCAAGTGTCCACCAAAGCATGAAAGGATAAACACAATGTGTTCTCTCCATACAATGGACTATTAGCAAGAAAGGCAATCCTGACACCTGACATGGACCAACCCTGAGAATACCAAGAGGAAAAGGCCAGACATGAAGGGACAAATGCTGCATGATTCTACCCATAAGAGGTTCCTAGAGTATTCATAGAGACAGAAAATGGGATGGTGGTTCACCAGGGGCTGAGGGTTGAGGGAAAGGGGAGGCAGTGTTTAATGGGGAAAGAGTTTCCATTTGGGAAGATGAAAAAAGTTCCAGAGATTGATGATGGTGATGGTTGCACAACAAGAAGAATGAACTTATTGTCATTGCCCTGAACATTAACAATGGTTAAGATGGTAGATTTTATGTTATGTACATTTTGCCATGATTAAATAAATCATAAATTCAGTATATGCAAAAGATGATGCAAAAATAGAGAACAGAGTCAAGTGTGGTAGTATAGGCCTATCATCCCAGCCACTTGGGGGGCTAAGGTAGAAGAATCAGAAGATCAAGGACAGCCTGGGCAACTTAGAAAAACCCTGTCTCAAAATATAAACAAATAAATTACTGGGAATGTAACTCAGTTGCAAATCACCCCTGGGTTCAATCCCCAGTTCCAATAATAACAATAATAGGAATATGACAACACACCTTAACCCCCTACCTCCAAAATAACTGCGGAGATTTCTCATCATTGAGGAACACATGGACTATTTTTTAAAAATATTTTTTAGTTGTTGATAGACCTTTATTTTATTTGCTTATTTATATGTGATGCTAGGATGTATGAGGCAAATGCTCTACTACTGAGCTACAATTCCAGCCCCACATGGACTATTTTGATCCTAGTATCTGGAGCCCTGGGAGTACCATGTGCCTACAGAGCTTGCTGCCTACAATTTTTTTTTTTTTTTTTTTTTTTTTTTTTTTTTTTTTTAATTTTTTATTGTGGGTTGTTCAAAACATTACAAATTTCTTGACATATCATATTCCACACTTTGATTCTAGTGGGTTATGAACTCCCACCTTCACCCCATACACAGATTGCAGATTCACATCAGTTACACATCCATTGATTTACATATTGCCATACTAGTGTCTGTTGTGCTCCGCTGCCTTTCCCATCATCCACCCTCCCCCCTCCCCAGCTGCCTACAATTTTGAATCCTGAGCAGGCCTGGCTCCCACTGTTGCATTTATGGGCCACTATGATGTGGCCTAACAAGAAAAAAAACCACAGTGAGGACAATACTTTAACCTACAAGAGGTCCTACAAGGTGACGTGGCAGGAGGAGATGCACACAGTGGGGCATCAGTTCTAAGTGACACACCAAGGGTGGGCAAGGCTAAGAAGCTCCAGCTCCACAACCCAGTGGTACAGTTGAACTCATTACTCCACAGCTTCCTGCCCAGACCCTGGGCAAGACAATTGTGCCTGTGTGCACATCTGTAAAAGGGAACATTGATAGGAGTACCTACCTCGTTGGATATGTGGAGGATTAAGTGAGATAGTATGTGGAAAAATAATTAGCAGAGTAAATGATTCCAAAACTGTTATGACAGCAGCAGTATCTAACAGTGGCTGAAGAATGGGTTTTGAAGGCAGGTTAAATTTCAAACCCAGCTCTATTTATTGTGATTTTGAGAAAGTTACTTATCTTGTCTATGCTTCGTTTTCCTCATTCATAAAAAGAGGGTGATAACCCGTACCCTTCTCCTGGGTTGTTAAGAAGATTAAGCACACTGATATAGGTTGTTGGAACAATTCCTGGTACACAGCAAGTCTTCAATAAACATGGGCAGTTGTTATTAGCATCATCTGCCTCAGGGCTCAAGCTGACCAGGGTTTCTAAGGCAGCAGCCTTGGCTGGGACCACGAGGGATGGAGCCTGCATGATAGGTCCCAACCTGAGCCAAAACCAGATTAGATCCAGCCAAACCAAACACAGGCCACGGGTGCCTGCTCCCACAGCCCAGCTCCCTCTCCCAGGGGAAAGATCACTTTTGACTGGCTGCTCCAAGTTGAGGCGTCAGGCAGGGGCCTCCCTCAGGGCAGTTCTACTGGGAAGGTGAAGGAAAAGGAAATGATTGTTTTCCAATCTTTCCTCAAAAAAACAAGCGGAGGGTGTGGGCCCCTCTTCTGGCCTCATATTGCCTGCACTCAAGATTCCATCCATAGGCATTTTGAAAATGAGCGCCTGTTTGCTTTCCCCTTGGTCTTTTCCTGTGGCTCACCACCGAAGCCAACAGGCTAAATTTAGGCCACTCAGCAGCTGGTCCCTAGCTAGAGGGCTGCCACCATCTGAGCAGAGGAGCCAAGAAGGTGGCAGTCAGGTGAGTGTACAGGGTAAAGGATGCAGACCCCAAAAGGCCTTCTGGGTGTGGGAATCCTGGTGTCCCTACAAGCCTCTGAACTCCACATTTCAGCCTGTGACAGGTGTAGAATCAGGGCCTGTTCACAATCAGGGCTGGGTGAATCAGAGACCCCAAGATTCCACCCGTGGGAAACATCATGATAGGAAACACTGACACTCCCAGTGGAAACACTTGCTACTGTCACCCTCAGCTCAAGTCCTTGCATATGAGAAAGTTGGGGCCCAGTGACACTGATCCAAATAACATGCACCCATTATCTCAGGCAGTTTCTGAAGCACCCTAGAGGTGGCATCTTTTTCAATGTTGCCAGCAGGTACAATTATTTCTGTGTTTTCACAAGTCACCCAGCTGCTAAACAGCGCTGCAGGATTGGAAACCAGGTTGATCATTTTTAGAACCTTGTACTCTTAAACATGTAATCTACCATGTAAACTAGGAAAGTGAATAGCTCAAAGTCACCCAGCACCTATTGCTGGTGCTATGCTTAGACCCTAAATCCTTGACACCCAGACTATTTTACACAATTTTACATACACTCACCCCGCCTGCCCTCACCCCACACACAATTATTCTGAAAAACAGTTCTGTGGAGACATCTGATATGGCAAATGCTAAGCCTCCTCCTTCTGATTAGACATGTATCTTTCTTGCTACATAACATAGACATCTCAAGTGAACATCATGGCCACTCAGTACTTTAGATCACCTATATTATTATCATTAGTGTCCACGATAGTCACACTGTGCCTCACTGTTAGGGAATCTTCACTCCAGTTCCATATGGAATCTGGTAGCCCCAAACATTCTGTTATCCTTTCCTCTCATAGGCAGAGAATTTTAGTTGGTGTTAGGGTTTAGATATGAGGTTTTCCCCAAAAGCTCATGTGTGAGACAATGCAAGAATCTCCAGAGGTAAAATGATTAGAATTATGAAAGGTTTGATGTAATTTATGGGTTAATCCACTCATGTGGCATCCAGGTGATTATTTTCCAGCAGAATGTAGGAAGGTGATAGTGACCTAGCACCACCAACAGGTAAGTGAACTCAAAATCCTAGAACACGGCAGACCAACAATGTGGAAGGAGCACAGGTCCCTGAATGACCTTGTGGAGCAGAATCTCCCTGGCAACTTGAGCCTGCTGGACTGTGATGTGTGAGAGGAATCAACTTTTATTTAAGCTCTGTGTGTCTCCACCTTACCTACCTTCCCATCACTTATAGAATCCCATGCCAATACTTAAGAGCAAATGCAGACTTAGCTTCTGGGGCACAAACTTCCTCCAACTTCCATTATTGCCATTGTCCTGAGCCATTTCAATTCTATGTTGATCATAAATTAACATCCCGATTTCATTTCTTCATCCTCACTAATCTGAGTGTCTTCTACTCCATGTCCACTCACATGGCCCCACCCTGTCAACCCCCAAGAACTGCCCAAGCTCAGAAATTCTCAACTGGAAAATCCTTCTCTGCAGCTATAACTTGTTTCCTTTACTTTGCCACTACCTGTCATCCAACTACCCCTGTTCTTCAGTCTCCCGAAGACCTTTAGTTCTGGGCTTCTTGATCCTTTTTGTGAAGCAGCAGCCTTGAGAGACCTGGCTGCTTCCCATCATCAGCAGAAGCTAGCCTGCTGCAGCATATCTCCAAACAGGAAAATCAGAGAAGACTCATCTTCAAAGGGTGGGGCTTCTCCATTGTGTGGTCCTCCACTGGGTCCTTCTCAGCATCCCTCTTGCCCTCCCCTTAACTCATCTCACCCATGATTCCATTTTGAATCAAGACACAAGAGGCCCTGATACATCTTGCTGGAATTCCTCCCTCTGCCTCCCTCCCTCCTCCCCCTCCTCCCCCTCCTCCATCTTCTCTCTCTCTCTCTCTCCTTGTCCCCCCCTCCCTCCTTCTCCTCCATTACTCATTCCCTCTCTTTCTTTCTCTCCCTCCTTCTCCATTGCTAATTCCCTTCTGTATGTAAACTTCTGACACTGGTGTTTCCAAGGTGTAGTTTCTTTTCTCTACTCCCACCCCATGTTCCCCTTAAACAACCCTACCCATGCCTGTGCCTCCACTTCATACATGCACTGATGGCACCCACATCCCTGGACCATTCTCTGACCTTGCTCCTACCTTCCAGGACTGAATTTCCTATTGCCTCCAGGACAGCAACCAGACACTCCCCACCTCAGTCTGT